GCTACAACCTCTAGCAAGAATCTTCCCAGACTGAAACCCCAGTTCCCAAGTAACACCAGCCCCAACATTTTGAATTCCTCAGGGAGGTGCCAGTCTCATCCTCTGGTATCTCCCACGCTCTTCAGGAGATGTAAGAAAATGTTTTTTGCCCTGAGCCTGGCTGTCATAATTCCATTCCATCACAGGAGGTCTGTCATCTTTAGCCATATTCAAAATAAAGGCTCATTATGTAAATGCAGTGGGAAGGTGAAAAAAATTAATGCGATGATCAGACTTTGGTTTCTGCCGCCATAATGCCTTCCTGCTGTTCCCTCACACATGCACTCTTCCTTCTTGCTGCATCCTTCTTTGGCATGATTTTTTTCTAAATGCATTTATTTATTTATTCATTCATTCCATTGATGTTAGTAGCTCCAGGAACAGGAAACCTGAAATACCTCATGGCCTTAAGTTTTAATTGACTCATTTTGCTGCCTTGAATATCAAGCCATCTGATATTTCTGAATATGGAAATATACTACAGATGGAACTTCTTCCATGGGTGGCCGAATGGCCATCACCTCCAATCCTTGCCCATAAAAGGCAATGGGAATCTAACATAACTGGAGGAAGCTGGTTGGGTAAAGGTATTGTACATGATATCCTAATGCAGCAAAGGGGACATATGAATGCCAATGCATAGGGAGATGCTCATCCGTACCATATTGAACTACATGGATATAACCTTAATATGGTTTGATTGAGCCTTAATTAAGGGCTATTTGTATTAGTCAGTCAAAGTGATATATTCTATCTGTTCTGATTTTTCTTTTCAAATGGCTACTCTTAAAGTAGATTACAAATAATATAATACGTTGTGGAAGCACAGATATAGAAATACCAAGCAGCATTATCATGAATGAAGGAACTCTAGCCTTGCTGCTTCACTGTACATTTTATAGTTTGTCATCTTGATGTGAATTTGGGCTGTGGCACATTGCTTTACAAATAATCTCCCAACTATTTTGTAATTTACCTGCCTTCTCTTCTTCAGAGGAATCACCACTTGGGGATAATGGCTCAGCTCAGGAGAAAGCCATGCGGTTTTATGCCTCCTGCATGAATACGGATCAGATTGAAGCTCAAGGTGCTGAGCCTTTGAAGGAGCTCATAAATAAGGTGATTACTGTACACTAATGTGGATGTCTGCTTTCGCCTAGGCATAGATGTGTCCTACTATATGTTCCATCTTCTTCATATTAGCATTCAATATAACAAGTGTGATCATTTACTTTCTGGCCCTGAAACTCAAATAATTGATGGTGGGTTGTGATATCCTTATTTCTTGTTGACACGGTTCTTTAAAATATAAAGATTCTATATTCCCTATCCTGTATTTCTGCCCTTATTTCCAGTCACACCTAAAATTCTGTATCTGCTTAGATCCCATCTCTCACTGTCATTATTTTTCCCTTATTCGCTATTCTTGTGTTGATAGTTTCCTCTCTATTGAAATGTCAACTCTCAGAACTTTAGTGGCTGAAATCAGCCATTTTTTAAAATGTATTTAATCTGAAAGATTTAAATTTAAAGATGTAATGGTTATATGGGAATGACCCGGGGAGAAGAACCGCTGCCAGGGAAAGAGTTGGATAAGAGGCAGCTTAGCCTGCAGCAGGAATGTGGGTATGGCAAACATCTCAGAAGGGACCATCCTTAGTTTCTTGGACTGTAAAGGTGACGGGGGAGAAATGTACTTTCAGACTGGCAAGATTCTGTTAATCTTACAATAAAGTTGAATTAGTTCATCTGGGCATGCTTTTTGTCGAACTACCTCACAAAGAGGACAGGTGGTCAGCCTGTACCTCAGCTCCCCTATCCCTGGGCTCAGAACACCAGACACATGTTGAAGCTTAAAGAAAGTTGTTGTAGGAAGAAGAGCTGAATGAAAGCAGCTGAACACCGCTTTCTATCTTGCCACTTTTCTGCTCAGAGTGGCTTCTTTGTGCAGCTAAAAGAGAATAAAAAGGCAGAACTGAAGCTCTGTTGCTCATGTTTACATATCTTACGCAGTGGGCTTCAAGTGATGGGCCTACTTGAACTCCTTCACGCATGAAAATTGAGTATTAATAAAAACTAATACCCTTGGATGTGCAAAAAATATCCCTCCTGAGCACAGTAATTCAGTGGTACCCTTTTCTTGTGTGATGTGGGGTTTTCTGCTCATTATGTGGCCTTTATTATTTGTTCTCTTTTGTGGCTGGTTGTTGCACAGATTATTGTGATGGTGAAGCCTTGGATGTTAAGTTCTTTTTGGATTTCTTTTTCTTTTTTAAAGGCTGGTTTATAAGACTTGTCTTTAGCAGGCCAATCATAGATCTAATATTATAGAGTTTTCCTAGTTCCTTAAAATGCAATATTTTTTTCCAGAAACATCATCTTAACTTCCATATTCAGCTTCCATTCTTCAAACCTGGCAATCTCATGTAGAGAAAAAAAATGTACACATGAATCATCCCATAGGAACAAGGTTTTCATATTACTTTCTAGGGGCCAAAACAGCTACAGTCATTGAGCAAGTGAACAGGGAGAACCAAGAAGAGTTTCCAGTGGAATTCATACAGATTAATGATTAATCTGACAGCCTGAGAAGGTAACAAATAGAAGTAAATTATTTTTCTATTAGTGGTGCTTTAGGAAACAGAAGCGAAGGTGAATGGACCTGACTTTGCTGCTGCGACTTGTAACAATTGTGAGATATGTTTGCAACTAGTGCAAGCATATGGAACTGGCGGAAGAAATATTGCAGTTAGAAGACTGGATCAGCAAGTGACTACAACTGTTCGAAAGAGAAGACAAAATCATTAGACTAAATAAAGGTACACTACAACAGGAGCCAGAACTAGAAACAACTCTCCATATGGAAGAGAATCAAACAAAGAAGCAAATTGAAAGGGAGTGATAACTGGGAAAAAGAAAGGCAGGAGGAATAGTGCAGTACAGGCATCCAGAAATGTTTTTCTGATAACAACAAAAAAAATGGGCTCAACCTCTCTAGGGAAGAGAAAACAGGTTGAACTAAGCAGGAGATGAGTGGCTAGAGCTCTAAAGAGACTACATGCAAGAGAACTTAGAGGAGAAAATATAGTTCGACTGTATGGTTTTGAAAACAGAAATGAAGCAGGAGAATTACTTACCAGTTTCTTCCAATCTATTGATTTCTTCATTGCTAACACATTATTCAAACAACATGTACATGACACCTGTGCACATTGACAATACCTGACGGAGTACACAGAAATCAAATCAATGATATTATCGGTACAAGTAGATAAAAAAATCCCTCAGCTATAACAGGAAAAACATGGCCAGGGGCTGATTGTGGAACAAATTGCAAACTGTTGATGTGCAAGTTCCAAGTCAAGTTAAAGCAGAAGAACAAAGCCAACCAGTTTCCACTATATGACTTTGAGCATATACCCTCCATTTTCAAGGAGAACATCAAGAATCACTTTGAAGTCCTCAACTTCATTGATAGAGAACCAGAGAAACCACGTAATGAAATCAAATAAGTTGTTAAATACAGCTGTGAAAAGAACTGCCAAAGACCAAGAAACAAGAAAGCAAACTGGATATCAGAACCGCAATGGAACTTGCCAAGAAAAGAAGAGAAGCCAAAGCCAAGAAAAACAAATATCTCAGGAAGGAACATAACAAAGAATTTTAGAGAGCTGCTAGAAGAGACAGGAAGCAGTATTACAGCAACATCTGTAAGCACACTGGAGATGGAAACAGACACAGAAGAACAGGAACAGTTTTCCAAAAGATCTCTGAACTCAGAAGGAGTTTCCAAGTTTGAAATAGTACGCTAGAGGATGCCAATGGACAGAGAGTAACTGATTCAAAGAAGATCAAATAGAGATACAGGGAGCATACTGAAATTATCTGGATATCACCATTCAAGATACCTTAGAAGATATTTCTTGCTTACAAGTATCCCTAGTACTAGAAGATGAAGTTAGATCAGCACTCCTGTGATCACCAAGTTGGAAGACAAGAACTGATGGAATAACTACAGAAATATATCACAGAACAGAAGAAGAATCAGTAGAAGTTCTTTCTTTAATAAAACTTTATTTTAAAAATTTATAAGTTTTTATAATAATAAAATTATAATAAAAGTTTTATTATAATATAATAAAAACTTTATTCTAAAGTTTTAAAATAAATAGTATTTTATAGTATTTTAAATAGTATTTTAAAATTTTAAAAACAGAAAGATAAAAACTAACAGGAACTAACAATCAAGAAAAAGAATAGAAGAAAATAAAGAATAAAGAGAAAGAAGGAAAGCAGAAGCAGAAGTGTAGAAAAAGAAAGAAAAAGAAATACAAGAAAGAATGACTTCTGACTTTTTTTACAGCAGATATAAGTAAAACATACATTAAACTCTTATTCTAAGATTACAACTTGACATCCATTTTTTTCTATAACCTATTAATTTTACTATTTCTGGAACACTTGATAAATCTTTCATAAGACAACTGGTATTTGATGGGAGACTAGAATGGTGTGGTCTCTCCATAGTTAGACAGTACATCTAAGAAGAAAATTAAAAATACTCAAGGTAAATTACCAAAGTCTTTTTTTTTTTTTTGATTTGATGGATAACTTAACTTCAGTGGACATATGGAGACAAAAAATGGCAATATACTTCTCAGAAAGGCATAGATGGTTTTCAAGAATAAACAAGATACAGATTTCAAAAACCTGGCTATTAAGACATCCAAAGTTGAGATTTTACTAAAAAAAAATTCTGATCATAATTGGTGAGTTTCACTTTTAAAAGGAAATCTACTACCTTTAGATGGAGATTATATAAAAATGTTATTACAAAAATAATGTATAGTGAAAGATTGTAAAAAGAAATTAACGGAATTTTTTGAGAATAATTTAAACGAAGGGACAGATTTAAGAAGAGTTTGGGATACAAGCAAAGCTTTTATTAGAGGCTATTGTATTCAACATAATATTAAACTGAAAAAAAGAAAGCACAAGAGAAAATACAGGCTATTTTGCAGGAGATTAAGAGAAAAGAGAAAGAATTATAGAAATTGCCGGCAAAGACATGTATTTCATATCAAATTAAACTTCCACAGCAACAGCTATCTATGTTGACAGTAAGAGAAATGGAAACTAAAATGAACTATGCTAAACAAAAGAACTTTGAATTTGCAAAGTAAAAGTTCTCATGAAATTATGTCAGCAAATCTGGAGAACAGTATATTGTGCAACAGATTTGAAGAAGTCAGTCTACATACCAGTACCCAAAAAAGGAAACTTAACAGAGCATGCAAAATACTGCATGATATCCTTAATTTCACATGCTAGCAAAATAATGTTAGGATCAGTCAACACAGTTTAGAGCCTTATATGGAAAGGGAGATACCAGAAGTTCAAACCAATTTTTAAAAAGGCCTAGGAACAAGAAACATTATTGCTGGGACATGATGGATAGATCAGAAAGCCAAAGAGTCACCCCCCACCCCAAAAGTCAGTATGTGCTTCATTGACTATAGAAAAGCTTTCTCTTTGCCAGCTACGTCAAGCTATGGAATGTCCTTAAGAAAGTGGGACTCCCAGAAAATAGTTTCAATGAGGTTTTTTTTTTTTTTTTGCAGCTAAGGACAGCCTGGGAGGATATTTATGAGGATTGTGAATGGAAAAAGAAAGAATGAAACCTTTCCTTATGCGTGGGGGTTGTTGCTGTTATTATTATGGTTTCCTCCTCATTTATTTCAACTGGAGTTTTGCCTTGAGTGAGTTCATTTCTGAAGTGAGATTTGAACTACGCATATTCCAACTCAGAATGTATACTTAGCTGTTTCATAACCCTTGTTCTCAGTGAAAATGATCCAATTATCTGCCTTTTTTTCCCTCTTCAGATTGGTGGTTGGAATATCACTGGCTCCTGGAAAGAAACAGATTTTAACCAAACTCTTCAGATACTCATGGAAAAATACAACACATTTCCATTCTTCAGAGCATATGTGGGACCCAGTTCATCTGATCCAAGCACCAATATTATCCAGGTAGGACTACTATGAGGCACAGTTTAGGCAACACAGTCAAAAAGTTTGTTTTTAATATACACATTTTTCTATATGAGGTCACCTTATACAGAGTCAGAACAAGGGAATGCCCTGTCAAAGAACTTCTCAGCACACGGAGTGTGATCCTGTACAGCTGTGAATATGCTGTGCTGAAAGTACAAGTTATAATAAAATTGTCCTCTCTTTCCATGTTAGATCAGGATTCAGGTCTGATGTTTTTTCTCATATTGCTTTAAAAGAAAATCCACAGAAATTTGAACAATTTTAGTTTTCGTTCATATTTTTCAATGTATTATTACATGGATATGTGAATAACTCCATGCTTCTTTAGTGCAATGGGGAGGGGGGGGCAGGGGGAGAGAGAAAGACAAAGACAGAGACAGAGAGAGATGGAAGCTCTTCTGAAGAATGTATCTACCCCTGTTGACAACTTTCAGTATAATTTCATGCTGAAGTTTAGAGTGGGGAGGGTTGCAGATTTTTTTTTATTAAGGAAAGATGCTAACTGAATTTCATCCGATATTTGCATTTGTAGCATTGCTCAATCTAGTGGAATGAGAAATGCATATTTGCTCCAAACTGAATCCATGGTGGAATCATATTTTTTGAAATGTGAAAAAAGATGATTTATTATCAACAACGACAACTCAGAATGTGTTTTTTCCCTCTTTGAAAATTGCTTATATCTGCTTATATCTGATTCTTAACCTAGTTATAATGTTGCTGGTATTACTATATATCCATGTTTTCCTTTTTCAGATTGACCATCCACAATTTGAGTTGCCACTAAAATATGATCTTGAAAGAAATGTGAATTATCCCTGGGTAAGCTGTGTTACATTATTAATTTACTATTTCTGAATTAGTCATTTCTCAAGCCAGTCTCTACACCTTGTGTGAGACTGAGAAACCAATGGTCATATATTGTGAGATGGTTCACAAGATCTCATTCATCTATGATCTGTGTTACTGAGAGATTTCAATGGATGATATTGCTCATCTGTATTTTTAAAGTGGCATCAAATCATGGTGGGGATTGGAAGTCACCAAAGTCACCACCTTAATCACCAGACAACTTCTCCAAATTGGAATATGCTACAGTGGTTTTTATGTGGCATTGCGTCAATGGGACAGCTTGAAGAAACTTGGTTTATCTCTTCCGACAGCCTGCCTGAATGAACTAGCTAAAGTGATCTCAAATGTGCTATTAAAGAATTCTGGGATAATGGTCCTATAAGAGTTCAACATTCATGCCGAAGCTGAAAGTTTGTCTTCCATGTCAACTGTGAATCATTCTATAACTATCATTGGACAAGATAGGACATTAAATTGTCATTATATAAGGTAGGGCATGCCCTCAAATTAATTTTTGGCCTGGGATATGGGTAGGGTGAATTTGATACTGTAACAAAAGATAATAGTTATTCCAAAATCATGCTCAGAGCATCACTGCCCTTCAGAAGAAGTAAAGGAGGGGAATCCACCCTGGCAATTTGCCAGGTACCCCTGGCAACTAAGGGGATTCACCCCTGGCAACTGATGGAATCTGATGGATTCTTGAGTGCTCTGGGGGAATTCGCAGAAGCCAGAGTCAATAATCCTGTTTTGATCTACTGTATAATGATAAAGGTGTATTGATCTATCCTGTTCTGCGTCTTTTTTGACCTATAGAATGGGAAAACAAAACAGGATATTGAGACAATTGCCCTAAATTGTTTTATTCAGCACTGTGGAGGAAGGGCTTCTCTCTAGGTCTACTGAAATCTCTGACCGTGGAACAAGCCAGGAGAAAGCTAAAGCACAAGTGATATGATATTTGCAATGGAATCCACAGGACATGTGCTAGTGTGCATAGTTCTGCGTGCTGAATGGCACAGAAGGTTGCAAAGAAGGCTTCTTTGCATCTTCAAATAGCTGTCTGCCTAATTCTTTAAGGTGGGTAAGAGTTTATTGTCATTGCCTCAGATAACTTGAATTTGCAGCGCTCAAATACTTAACAGATGTAGAAGGCACATTTGATCGAAACTGCTCATCTTCATGCTGATGTGAACATAGTTTTTGATATCAAGTGTACTGAACTGTCCAGTGTATCTCTTGATGCCTGTAGATATGACAAGACATCTTGCTCTCTTGGCCATATTAGCATATTCAGTGATAGCCTCAGAAAATAGCATGGTACATAATCTGGCAGCCAAGTTGTCAAGAGAGGCACTTGCATACCCACAGATTACATCTCTGGCAAAGCAATTGCACTGGCTGCCAGTTAGCCACCAAGCCAGGTTCAGATTTTCGTTTTTGACTTGTAAGGTACTAAACAACCTGGGACCAGAATACCTGAAAAAATGCCTTCATCATTACAGATCTTGTCAGTTGCTAAGATCTGGGGAGGTCCTGCTGCATGATACAGGATTAACAGAGTATCATCTTGTCGTTATTCCCAGATGGACCTTCTCTGTGGTGGCATCACCTCTCTCTTTGCAATTCATGAGGTGCCTACTATTATAACTTTTAGGGTCTATGGAAGACCTGTATCTTCATCCAGGCCTTCATAAATGAATGCTGGACAAATAGTTCTGTTCTGTTTTTGTTTTCCAACCCCCCCCCTTTTTAAATATCATTTTATATTATTTTACTTATTTGTTTTTATTGTTGTATTTTATAATGGTGTTGTAAACTGCTTTGAGATGGCAAAGATTTGGCAAGACAGAAAGAATAAGATGCAGAGATCCCAAAGAGATTTCATAATGCAGGCATGCAATACATATATTACCTCTGTATTTCTGCATGGATTCAAATTTACAGACCAATCTTTGCTGCTGCAGACGTATTTATAAGTAGCAGAAGGCTGAGGTATTAGATAATTTTTTATTTTAGATACAGGTAGTCCTCAACTTACGACTACAATTGGGACCGGAACTTCCGTTGCTAAGCGAAGTGGTCATTAAGTGAGTCACACCTGATTTTATGAACTCTTTTGCTGTGGTCATTAAGCAAATCACATGGTTGTTAAGCAAATCCGGCTTCCCCAATCACTTTGCTTGTCAGAAGCTGGCTGGGAAAGTCGCAAATGGAGATCACGTGACCCCAGAACATTTCAACCATTGTAATTACATGCCAGTTGCCAAGTGCGCAAAATTTGATCATGTGACTGTAGGGATGCTGTGATAGTCATAAGTGTGAGGACTGGTCATATGTCACTTTTTTCAGCACCATACTACCTGTAGTTCATAACTGAACAGATGGCTCAGAACAAGTTCAGTCAGTGACTCTGCTTGATAGAAAGGTTTGTTTTGCAGGTCGTACATTCATATTACTTGTATCTAAAGAAGCTAGGAGAGCTGATGGGAGGCCACACAAATGCTACTTCTACCTACTTTTCCTTGGTATTGTCCTTTCTCTCAAACCTCCAGAAGGTTGTTACTCCCCTGAAGAAGCGACAGGAGAAAAGGATGCTATTTTACCACACCACCATCAGGAAGCTGCAGGTCTGTATACAGTTTTCCAGAAATGTGTTTTTTGCATATTACATTTATATGCTGCTGAGTCAACAAAGAACTCCCAGTGGCTAATAGTAATGCTACAACATTACTGTAAAATTAAAATATCTATCCATACATCAAAATGTCCATGGTACATATACAAAATAGTCACAAATCCTGTAATAGTAATAATAAGGGCAATAAAGCAAAGGATTCTTCAAGTTCTGCTAAAACCAGAAAGCATGACCACTATCTACCAAACATTTTCTAGAAGATCTTAGTCTTAACTAACTTCCAGAAGTTTAAAACAATGGACAAACTGAGCAAACTCAGGGAGGCAGTGAAGGACAGGAAGGCCTGGCGCAATATGGTTCATGGGGTCACGAAGAGTTGGACACGACTTAACGACTAAACAACAAAACAACTTCCAAATGCAGTTTTGGGAAAT